GGAAGAGCAGGGTGAGAACCCAAACAGGCATGGCAGGCTAATGAAACCAACTGCTGTTTGCAAAATTCTAGTTCTACATAGACTTAAACCAATGAATCCATGATAGGTTTTTGCAATTGACAGAAATCTGCCTCTACTTTTGCCTGCTTGTAGACATAGCTATTGCAAGTGTCACTATTCGTGAGCTTCTAAGGATATAGATACTTATAAATATATATAATTCATAGCTGCTGAAAAATACCAGAAAAAAATCAGGTATGTATTTTGGTGGAGGGCTACGTTTGCTTTAACTTGTTCTGGAATCAGGCATAAGTAAACACATAGTATTTTTAAGCTACATCTTAAACTAGTAATTTTTTTTTTTGTGAGTGTTTCATCCCTCTAAGGCGTTGATGGTCAGCATTAATTTGCCCATTTTAAGAACCATGTTATGTTTTACCATGACTTTGCTTTGTAAAATGCACCCATGATTTCAGTAAATATTTCACACTTGTATTGAATAATCATACTTCCTAAAGGGTACAGCTATGTACAGTATTTGTAGGCCCCTTGTATTCTATTTCCCTTAACTTCATGATATCTGCAAAGTGTGTACAGCACTTCTGTGCCGCACGAGCAGATACTAACACTTAATTTGTTTTTTCTTTTCCTGTATTTAATCCAATGAGCTATGGTATGTGTAAATGAACTTAGTTGCTGTATATCAGGAACTGCAATCCGACTTCTTTGACTTCTGCTTGGACACAATAAAAGCATTTTGTGCACCTGACTTTATACTTAGAGCCCTATTACTGAGAGTGTTACTGTTTATGAAAAGGAAATATGCACACTGGTTAAAAAGTATAGTGCCAGTTTAGTGCGAATTACGTTGAAAATGAATATATACCATTCCACAGCAAAACGTTAATCTTTAACTGTACCCGTGTAGGACGAGGGAAAAGGACACCCGGCCGCAAACGTGGGACACAGCTGTGGATGGAAGGTCTGATTTTGCTGTGTGCTGCACATCTCAGAGAAGGTATTTTTAAAGTTAGTCTACTAAGACTGACGCCAATCATACGTTAATTTCAGACAAAAATGTTATATAATGGGAATGCCCTCAAGACAATTCACAGGAATCCCACTGCGTTTCAGCAACCAGCCTCTCCGAAAGGACCCTGGGCTGGTTAGTCACCGGCAGCAGAGGTGGAGACAGGCACTGCAGTGCTTTTCACCTCCTAGGCATTAATTACTTTCACTGCTGTGGGCCACATATCTTAACACTGCAGTACTTTGTATTTTCTAGATGAAAATTGACTATCCAAAGCATTAAAAAAAAAAAACCCTTCCTCATGTGCAGCACACGGGCTTTGGCTTTATACAGTTACTGAGTGAATTATTTTCCCTGTAACAGACTTTTATCCCCAGAGGCGAGAAAAGGAACAATTTAGTGTCCTCTTTTCCCCTTTCTCATCTATATGGGAATCCAACAGTGTATTATTATAAATATTATATTAATCCCCATTTTTTTTATTAAAAAGGAGATGGCATTGTCTCTTACTCAGAGGAAAAGCTAAAAGTCAGAGGATAATGGGATGCTAAGCATCAGCCTAGCTTTAGGCTAACTTTCAGCATCATACTTATGAAACTGGATGCATCTGGTAGTGGGGATTACAAAAATCACTTTTTTGTGGAGCAGTCCACAGAAGAGACTTGCCCTTCGTTCAAAAACAAAAAAACAAAAACAAACAACAAAAAAACAAAAAACCCACCCCCAAACACCTTTTGTTTCAGGCTGTCAATCCTGCAACATTTCCTCTCCAAAAAAATTCTGGCAGATAATATGATCCAAGCCTTGGTAACTGTCAATACAAAAAAAAAAAAAAAAACCTAAGGTAAGATGAAAAGCTGTTAATAAAAGACTCAGTGAACTGACAGTAATAGCAGAAGAAAGGGCTGCTTCGATTTACTTTCTGCAGATGGCAGATTTCCTGAAAAATACCTGCTGCATTCTAAAATTTCTGGTATGCTAGTCTTCATCTCTACAAACACTGACATGTAAAATGAGCATCAGCGTTGTACATTTATGTGTCTTACTTTACCTACTGTGTAGTTTTGGAAAAAGCTGGGGGAAGAGGGAAGGGAATCAACAGTGACCAGCAAAACAGCAACCTTCAAGTCCAGTTGCTTACAGAATGGTGAATTTGATGCTACTTTGATTGCAAGTTTGTTAGAATTGTTTTATGCATGCTAAATATTTATATCTAGTGTCATATTTAAGCTTATACAGTCCTGTGTACCACAGTCTAATGTCTGTAGTATTGAATTTTTTATTGATAACTTAAAAACCCTCATAGCTGGTTTAAAAAAAAACATTAATACATACAAATTAGATCCTGTATAGGCCAAGGGAATTACAATTATGCAAGGCAAGCAGCAGTAATATGGAAAATATTGTTTTAATAGATAATAAGCAAGCAGAAGCAATAAAGAAAAACCCACCTATACTGAGGGAGAATAATCAAGATAATTTGAAGAGCGTTAAATGACTGAACAGAAGAATAATTTTCACTGGCAGCTCTGAAGTGTACCAAACCCAATGGAATTTTCATGTTGTAAACAAATTAATAGTATTACCTTTACTGGGAAGCAAATTACCCACTGGAATTGGAGATTGGTGGGAAAAAAAATCCAAATCCCAATCCCCAAAAGATGCTAAAGAGAGAAATATTGTAATAGTCCACAGGCACTGGGTAATGTACGTACTATATTTGTCAGAATTAACATTACTGCTGCCTGTAATTTAGGATTAACATTGAGAACAGTGGAAAAGTCTTGATCAGGCTTTGGCAAATGCTGACAAATAGGGGTATTTCAATGCCTCAAGCAGGTGTCGTTTTCTTACTCTTTTGCCCTCAGCAATGGCTTAGTAAGAAAATTCTGTTTAATAGAGCATTATCAAAACAGAACACTTCAAATTCACATGGATGCTGAACACCTCAGAAAGGCAAAGAACTATATTTCTGATACTCTTTCCTGCTGTGGTCACAAGGTCATTTGAATCCAGCCCACATTTGTGCCGCTCGTGTCCTAGCCCTAGGACACACCACTGATACAAGTCAAACCAGGAAACTAATCAAGTCAAAAAGTCATCTGACTCTACCTAGTATAGTGAACATCATTTCAACTTGTTATGGGAGAGTTTACAAGCTCAGCAGCACACGTGAAGGCAGGAGAGAGGCATTTCTAGGGCACTTCAAGACTGCAACCTGTTCAATCTTTGTTTTACTGTATTTTACATAAAGATGAGTCTTTATTAGAATATCAAGATTAGCATAGTAATTCTTACTTTAAATCTGATTATAGGCTCTTTCCTTCTTGTTTAGGATGCCAGGTCTGTAATAGCAATATGAATAACTTTTATAATACAGCTATATTAACACTAGTACAATTTGTCATTTAACAGGTGGATCGTCTGCTTCACTGATAGCATAAAAAAAAGTAAAAGGATTGTCCAACAAACCTGTTTAAAAAAAAAAAAAAAAAAGCTAAAATGACTTGCCTATTAGTTAGGCTGTGCCTGGAGACCTGGCTGTTTTTTTGATTTAAGGCTTCAGAAAGGAATGGAAAAAAAAAAAAAAATCCAACCAACCAAACCCCCAAAACTACAACTATTTTCAAACCAATACCAAACCATTTTCCTAGGACACTGCTTAGCTTCTGTCCCTGTTTAAGAATAAGGAGTATTTCCAGGAAAATAGTACATATGCTGACTTAAGAGGACTCCTCTTTTATGAGCTGACAAACCTACACACACACAACCTGCCCATGAAAATCCCCATTTTCAGAAATTCAGAATGGAAACACAAAGAATTAATTGACAGAAAAGCCTCCTTTTTAATAAAACTTTTCAAGTTACAATGATAAATGGTGGATTGTCACTCTTTTATGATCAATGAGTTAGGCTCTTGTAACGGTCACTAAATTCTGTTAGAGGCTTTGAGCAGAGCTGTTCTGTGCCGTTGTGTAACGCTCCGTTATGGTCTGCTTGGCTTGTCAGATGGTCTGCAGTACCACCACACCTGTGAAGTGCTTCCGAAGAGCTATGTTTGGTAACTGCTCGCATGCCATCTTCTTTCTTTGCTAAGTAACAAATTTGATGCATTCAATTATTGAATAATACCTTGTAAAGATACCAAAAGTAAATATAATTCACGCGTTTTCTTTTCAAACCCTCAAGCAGTCACGTTATAAAAAAGTAGTCCTATTCCACCCTTAAACTTTTGTAAAGAAAATTGAACCCTCCCACAGAAATAAACTGCTATTTTGGGGTTTTTCTTTTGTCTACTTGGATCCTGTAGACAGCAAGGCAATCAGTCCCG